TTAATTTTTCTTTTTAACAAATACTAATCTTTTTACATTATATTGCAGGGTTCTAATTGTCTTCCATACTCAAGACTGTTAAAGAGTGCTGTTAGTAGAAAGTAGCAACATGCAACCTGTCGTGAAAAATTTGAAATGATAAAAGTTTGATTCATATTTGAGTTTTTTTATTTATATATTTCTATTTCTAGTTCAAGCATGATGTATGTCCCTTGTATTTCCAAACCCGCTCTCCGTCATTTTTCGCTGGGTAAATTGGAGCCAGAATCGAGCTAATGAAATATTGTCGTCCTTGTTTTTTTTCACATTAATTATGACATGTTTAAATCTGAGTTTGATCGGAAGTGGAATATAAATTGCACATTTTAAGGGTCTGAAACGTTGCATGTGTATGCTTAGATTCGTCAATTTATTCCACCGTTCAATTACTCCCTTGTCGCTTATAGTATTCGAAAGAAATATACATCTTTTTGACAGATTCCTTCAATCCTTAAAAAAGTTTGCCTATATCCTTAAATTGTAAACTGGTCAGGCATTTATCCTGGAAATCCGGCCCTGCAGTTCCTATATCATCTCCTTTATGTCTGCTAATTGCCACTTCAGTCCACCTCTTGTTGTATTTGGCAAAACCTTTTGGAATTTGGTCCTAATTAATGCTCTTTAATTTCGAACTTTATTTGGCCTTTTAGTCACTTTTATTGAAACACCCGTTAACAAGCGTTGGTAGACTTAATTGTAACTATTATGGAGAGTAGCGAGTAATTATATTTTATCTATATACACAGTCGTAAGAGAATAAATATATGCGGTACATACTTGGATTCTATTAATAGACAGGGAATTTTCATATCTATAGGTGACTAAATGAAACTTAAAAAACAATACACAGCATATACGTATCCACAGTTATCACATACGTAATTAGTAACATAACACTTTACGATGAGCTTATCCTCAAAAGAAATTAATTGATCATGACTGAATCAAATTCAAAGTTATAACACCTAAAGATGACGTCAGATGGTATCCTCACTATATCATCTCTCCCATTTTGTTTAACATGTACAAACCTATAGTTATAACCCTTACTTCCCCTACTACTTACATCATTCTAAGGTTTTTATAGCCATATTAAAAAGAAATTGACAGAAACTGACAACTTGTATAACAAAAAAATGGAATATGGTATATGGTAACCAATGAGATGACTATCTACAAAAACCAAAGCTAGGGATCATGTTAACGGCTGTAGGTTACGGTATGGACTCCAACAATAAGAAATACCCTAACCCAAATAAAAAGTGTAGGGGTCACAAACTAAGTGAAAATCCAAAAGAGAGCATAACGCTTATAAAATTAAACAAATAACATGTAACATGGCTAACAGAAACATTAATCACTGCTCTAACTGGTGATAGACACATAAAGAATGTTGATTGATAAAGCATGTTTGTGAACGCTCAATCCTCCTTTAACATTGGACTGTGGCATAACAGATACAAAAGTACCGATCTAAAGAGTACATAAAAAATGTACTTGTAGTCACTGATGAATGGTAGTTTATAGAGAAATTTCGAAATACCACAAAAAGGAAAAAGCTACAATATTAAAATGCTATTACTAAGATAAGGACATTCTAAAAGTCAACAGGACTGTGTTATGTATAAGATAAGTGTTATTGCATACCGTACAAAATGAAAGAAACAGATTAATGGGGGCAACTAGAAGTTGTCCAGTACAGCAAAATCAATATATTCATAAGAATTCGTTATTAAAATAACTGAAGTATTATCAAGATAGAAAAGAAAAATATTTTGATCAATGTTACAGTATCAATTTACAAGATTTCGTATTTCGTCAAATTATGTACTTTAGTGTTCTAAAAACAATGTTTTTAATCTAAGCTGTTTTTAGTTTGTTCTCTTTTCAGCATTACCAAACACAGAATACTTTTAATAACATATAGAAGAATTTGTATTGTCAAAATGTAGATTAGGTTAACTTTTTAATGTGATAATTTCATGTTATCAGCCCGAGAGCCGACAGAGCCGACACGATCTTCAAAAGTGATGAATCGTCACCTGGACTTCTCTCATCCGGCAGAAAAACTAAATGCTAAAAAGGGGAGTGTTTGTCACTTAACTTTAAGCGAACAACAATCAAATCAATCGTTTAATTTATTGCTAACGGCGGACACCTAATAATTTAATAACCGAAAAAAAAATATTCGTTATGTTTGATATCTGGGCCGGACATTTTGTTTATGTCGAATTTTCGGTACACTAATTAATTTCGGTGTTTATGAAAAATGCAATTTAAGTTAGTAGGATTTAAGAGTCGACAGCAGTAATAAAGATTTGATTTACTGTAGCATATATCGTCGTGTGAATCTTGTACATGTAGTGGTATATGTCCATTTTTGATAAAAATTTATATTTGAGATCCAAATGCAATGGTTTATCTCCCTATACAACTATGATACGAGATTTCTACACTCTACCAGTTTTTGTGAGAACTACAATGTTCTATCTTCTCCCTCCCATTGAATTATAATGGCTTATTTTTATAAAGTTGTATCGCAACTTTTTTTCACGTTTTTTTTTTGTTTTTTTTTTGCTGTTGAATAATTGTTATCAAAATAATCTAAGAAGTACTATGATTAAATGGTTTGCATGATTTGAACTCAGTCTATGAGAAAAATTTAGAAAATCCAGCCGCACAGAATTGGGGATATTACAAAGATGAAAAATCCAACGGAAATATAGGGATAAATTTTTGCTGTTGTATAATTGTTATCAAAATAATCTAAATAGTACTATGATTAAATGGTTTGCATGATTTGAACTCAATCTATGAGAAATTCTTTGAAAATCCAGCCGTACAGAATTGGGGATATTACAAAGATAAAAAATCCAATGGAAATATAGGGATAAATTTAAAACTACATTATTTGTAGTGAAAGGTTCTATCTCCAAAAGGGGATGCTTTATTTATCTTTGTAACATGAATGGTAATTTTTACTTTGATGTTCTAGCGAGTTAACTTCAGTTATGTTTAGAGGAGTGCGTTAACTGAATGATTTTTTTAGTTATTGCACTCTCCAATCCCACCGTTGACCACTTCTCGTTTGAATAGCAAAGAATTGGAGGAGCTTAAACCAGTGCTCTAACTTTCATCTTAGAAGTTGTTAATGCACAGTCTGGCTCCGCCTCCTTGGGGTAGTAATTAATGAACGAATAAAACAAAATGAAATAGAAATGACTATAAATTTGCCTACTAATATTTTGCTTGGATACCTGTTCTATCGTGTCGAAATTAATAATACTAGAACACACCCGCGACATCGCGGGTCCGTGACTGAATTAAATTACCTACGCCTTATTTTTAGCCTTGATTTTTAGTTTCGTATTGTCATTTGATAAAGTCATGCTGATTATAAGGTGCGCACAGTTTTCTCTGCTTTCAAAATCTTTCTGTTTGAATCCGTCCTGTTTTTCTTACTACAACCAGAAACTCCTTGTAGATATATTTTTTTTGGCCAATGATTGAATTTAGTAGTGTCAATCTTTGTATACTGACGAAGTTCAGGTGTGTATATAGCAAAATTGTAACCCCAAATACACTGTTTGGCGGTGCGCCTGACAAAGGCAGAATGTACAGATTAGGTAAAAGATGTAACATGTGCAGTACTTCGACTGAGCATGCGCGAAAGCGTATAAGACACGGATCGATAACGGTCTCCGAATTTGGATATTTTCTCAAAAATTGGCGTTTTCTGTGGAAAAAAGATTGTTTCTAAGACAAATTTAAGAAGTTCAAAACACTACATTTATACGTCATATCACAAATAATTCCGACTTTGTATGGTTTCAGAGGAGTTGCGGCTCAATGAAATCGGTCTCTTCCTTTAGTAGTATAGATTCCAAAAAATATTTGTCACTGGATGTTAAGTAATTTTCTTCATTATATAAGGGTCTATTTCCGTGAATTGATCATGCTTCAAATATTTGTCCCTGGAACTTACACGCATTCAACACGCAACCATTGCAATCAATTAACTGATATTTTCCCAGTTCTTGGGAATGAAAGAAGAGTATTAATTACCTTCATAATTGGTATTAGGAAATGTTTCCTTTTTATCACAACGTCAAAACTCCTTTGAAACTACACGTCCTTTTCGGGTTTGAGGGCAGATAAACATCCAATAAAATTTTGCATCACCACCATCCCCCTCCCTCTCCCTCTTATTAAAGAATTTTCGAGAAGAAAAAATATTCAATAACACATAAATGACTATCGAGTATGAATCCCACGGCAACAATTCATTTAAGTTTAAACGTACCAATCCAACTGACATCTGCTGCGGTATCACGCCACCATTTGATTGACATATTGAAAAGTGCAGTAAAGTTTTATTGGTCAGGATTTAACCTTTGATATATGTCATAGCCCATCAATGTTACCAATCATATATAGCCACGCCGTAGTCATTAACATATTTAATCTACTCAAAGCTAAGCTTTTCATGAAATAAGTTAATTCATAAAAGGCGTGCTATATATAACAAGTTGCTTGTTTATTAGATGAACAATCGAACAATTACGTAAATGTGTTTCCTATATAACTTTTATGCCTCAGTCGAATATTTATGATATTGAGCTTTTAAACTTTTATTTAAATGTTTACCACTACTACCAAATGGGAAATACATCATTATAAAATTCACACGACGATTTTTTTATGCAATGTATTTCAAAACCATTTTTTACATTCTGTTTCGTTTTTAGCGTAATGTATGTACTTACAATTTAGCCAATTTTTGAATTTCGAAATTTGGCATTCTTTTGAATGACTCATTTGCTTCAATAATTTAAACTCTTAACGTCTGTTGTGTAATGTTTGTGGAAATAAAACAAGACTTAGTACAAAAGTTGAATCATAATTGTCTTGCAATTTTGTTATTTATCTTATAATGTCTAGAACTTGTTTTAATTATACAGAAGTGAATCAGCAGAATTACTGGATGGGAGCAACAGATTTCAAGGAGGGTGATTGGAGATGGGTGAATGATCTGTCTAAAGTAGATTTTACAAGTTGGCAATCGAGTCAACCTGATAATTCAGGAGGCAAAGAGGACTGTGGTCATTTCTGGCATGGATACAACTATAAATGGAATGACCAGCATTGCAATGATAACTTTGCGTTTATTTGTGAAAGCCCTCTGGTATTTATTATTCATTTAGTTTCATATCTCTTTGTTATAATTGATTTAGTACAAAAAAAAAGTCATTTATATATAAAGGTCATTGTACAAGAAGGGTACATTAAAATTTTGACCACTTACATAGCAAATCTATATCTATATGGATCTCTAGATGCTTTCATTGATCAACGATAACTCGTTCGATGTGAACCGCCGTGTCATCCAACGTATAAAAATACAAAATAGTAATGGGGAAATGTTATAGTTACGTTAAATCATAGGTCAACAATTGCAAAATGAATGTTGTAGACATGGGAATACATACCAAATCGATTTCATGGTTTTTTATTGTCATTTCCTGAATGATATTTGATTTAATTTTTCTTTTTAACAAATACTAATCTTTTTACATTATATTGCAGGGTTCTAATTGTCTTCCATACTCAAGACTGTTAAAGAGTGCTGTTAGTAGAAAGTAGCAACATGCAACCTGTCGTGAAAAATTTGAAATGATAAAAGTTTGATTCATATTTGAGTTTTTTTATTTATATATTTCTATTTATGGATGTGCATTTTTGTACAATTCCGTATAATTTCAAAACCCGATAGTATTAATAATGTGATTTTTGATAGGTTCAGGGAAAAAAAATTGGGTTATTCAGTTAACTATTAGCAATCAGCATGGATTTTGTGTTTTAGGCTTTAGCATGAAGTAGTCAGTTTCCAATAAGTTTGGTATTTTGTTCAATTAAAACTTGTTTTTGTTTTTATACAGATGTTGTACGTACTATCGTCACTTTGTAGCGCGATATCCTGGTGCACTGCTCGATCAGAAGCACGGGTTTGTCCACATTTCAAACCTTACCTTTCTTTACTATTGTTTAACGTTTTTGTCTGTACTGACAATGTTTGATCGTCAGTTCCACCGACATGTTTTTTAATATAATGATTGTTCAGGTTTTCACCAAGTTGACAGTTGTGGAACAAATCTAAAATCCGAAACGGCAATGAAAGGAAACAAAACGACAAGGGATCATAACAAAGCAAGAATCAAAGAAAAAAACCCTAGTCTGTCATAATTGTTAATTGTTGGGTTGCTGTTTCGTAGATGAATATCATTCTTTTTTATACCAAACCAATGCTGTGTAGGAAAATATGCATGTGCTTTTCTGTTTTAAAACATTCGGAAATGCTTTTAATCTTAGTATATAATGTTAAAGTATAAGCACTTCAGTTACAATGATCAAAAATATATTACATTTGATAATTTCTGATGATGAAAACCTCAATAGTTCACTGAGATATAAAAGCATTGTCACCTGGACTTCTCCAATCCGGAAGTAAAACACATGATATGCTTCGTGCCAATCTGAAGAGTCAAGTCCTTTCCATCTGATTTTTACAGTTTGTGCTTGTGTTGTGCTATTACACCACTGTCCCAGGTAACAGGAAGGTTGCTCGTTCACAAACATGTTTCACCCTGCAATATTATGTAAGTACCTGGCTTCAATTCAGTATATGTGGTTAGTTGCTGTCTGCATTCAAATTGGTTTTATTTTATTGTTTTGTAATGGATAAGGCCACTGTTTTTCTCGTTTGAATTGTTTTACACTTTATCATGTCGGGGTCTTTTAAAGGCGACGATACGGTATGGATTAAGTTCGTTGTTGAAGGCCATACAGTCAAGTATAGTTTCTTATATCCACCGTATGACTTCTCCTCAATTTTGTAATGAAAGGGGCGTCTGTTTGAATGTCCAGGATGTATTAATACACAGCCACGTCCGATCAAAATAAGAGCGTAATTTTCCGATGTTTCGTGTATGGATATTGTGACACTACATGTGCTTTAACAATAGATCTTTGCAACAACCCTGTGAGGGGTCTTCAGACGTCCTCTTGTAAGGATATTTTGTTTCTATTCATGATACTCTCCTTTTCATCGCCCTTCATCACTATCGACACACTTTGTCGTATTTTATTGTATTTTAATTTTTTTCGTTCTAAATAAGGATGAAGACATAATCTTTCAATCAGTTTAATTGAGGTCTGGAGCTGGCATGTCAGTAACTGCTAGGAGTCCTTTGTTTATTCATGTATCATTGTCATTTTGCTTAGTTTCTTTTGTTACCTATTCTGACATCGGACTCGGACTTCTTTTAAACTGAGTTTTACTGTGCGTATTGCTGTGTGTTTGTTTTTCTACATTGGCTAGAGGTATAGGGGAGGGTTGAGATCTCACTTAACATGTTTAACCCCGCCGCATTTTTGTGCCTGTCCCAAGTCAGGAGCCTCTGGCCTTTGTTAGTCTTATATGATTTTTAATTTTAGTTAATTCATATGTTTTGGAGTTTAGTATGACGTCCATTTTCACTGAACTAGTGCACATTTTTGTTTAGGGTCGGGATTTTCTCGCTGTGTTTAAGACCCATTGGTGGCCTTCGGCTGATTTCTACTCTTTGGTCGGGTTGTTGTCTCTTTGACACATTCCCCATTTCCATTCTCAATTTTATTTTTGATATATTTGCCACTGGACGTTTAGCAAACACCACTAAAAAAACATGTAACCGATGTTTTGTGCATAAAATCATGCCATTGGTTAAATCGTTTGAATTGTTTCCAATTTTGTCATGTCGGGCCCTTGTTATAACTTAATATGAAGTATGTGTTTTGCTAATTGTTAAAGGCCGTACGTTACTTACAGTTACCTATAGTTGTTCACATTTTCGTCATTTTAGTCATTGTAGATAGTTGTCTCAGTGGCAATCGTTAATCTCTTTATTTACCAAAGTCATAACAACTATAGGCATACATTGAAGACCTGTTGGTGACCTTCTGCTGTTGTCTGTCCTATGGTCGGGTTGTTGTCTCTTTGACAAATTCCCCATTTCCATTCTCAATTTTATACAACATATAAACTACACACAGTATACATAGATAGCAGAAGGTAGTGTGAAACATATTACAACATGTTAGATCTTAATTTTTGTGCACGAAATATAAATTTACCCAAATTACATAATTCTCTAAGATTATTAGAACTCATTAATTGTATATATTTAAACATAGAAGGTTTTCTCCAATAATAAGGTTTGATAAAATAAGATCTAAGACCTTGATAAGTGGGACATTTTAAAATGAAATGCATCTCATCTTCAATGTCATTTTTACAAAAACTACATAGTCTATTATTTCTTGGAATTGCAGAATAGCGTCCACATTCTATAGCTAAATCATGACTACTAAGTCTTATTTTTGTAATACATGTCTTATAAATAACTGGTATTGGTTTACATAAGTAATATTGTAAACAAAAAAATTTGAACCATATATCTATAACTTGAACATTTAACTAAGTTATTCAATTGGCTGTCAAAATCTTGCTTCAGACAATCAAACAGGCGTTGTTTAATTATCAAGTAAAAAGTACTGGAGAGCTCACTATCAAAAACTAAACCTTGATTATACCAAATATCACCTAAACCTATACTAAGCAACTCATTTTTAATAAAATACAACCAATTTGTCTTATTATTTGGAAATGTTTGAAAATCATCATATAAAAAACAGTAACAGTTTTTCAAAATACAGTTTGTGGTACATAACAGCTAAAACCAGTGTTTAAAAATTCTACATTTTCTGGTCTGCAATAATGGCAATCTACCTAGCTCATAGTACACCATGACATTACTAGTAGAGCTTTTCACTTTCATAATATTTTTACAATAGCCCAGATGTATCCTCTCTATAGCTGGTGCCTTATGAGCACCCCAAATTTCACAACCATAACAAAGTACACTGTTAATATAAGTATCAAAAAGTGAAAGTAAAGTTACAAAATTCAAATAAATATCATTTATATTTCTCCTTAAGGCAAAAACAGCTTTTCTACCCTGCTCTGATAGTTTCTGCCGTAACAGATTATATTTACCATTAAAATTTAACAAAATACCAAGATAACTAAACTTATCTACAACTTCTATTTCCTGGTTATTATAATACCATTCTTCATTATCATGTATTTTACCACCCTTTCTAAAAACAACAATTTTCGTTTTTGCTATATTAACACTAAGTGACCATTTGGAGGTATAATCATACAAAGTATCAAGAAACGTTTGTAAACCAGATACACATTCTGAAAAAATTACCATATCGTCAGCGTACATTAATAAAAATAAATTTAGTTCCTTCACCTCATAAGGAATAGAGTCACTATTTATAAAGGCCATTTCACAATCGTTGACATACATTGAAAAAAAATATAGGTGATAATACTTCACCTTGCATCAGACCTACTTCATTAGTAAAATAATCAGAATTGAACCCATCAACACTTACACAAGTGCTGACATTAGAATACATTGCTTTGATTACCATTAAAAAATTACCTTGAATACCAATTTTTGATAGTTTATACCATAACATATATCTTTGAACAGTGTCAAAAGCTTTCGTGTAGTCTACAAAACAACAATAAAAACGATTTTTAGCTGATAAAGACTTGAAAATTAATGACGTAAGAGCAAAAATAGCATCTACTGTACCCAGATCGGAGCGAAAGCCGAACTGGGCATCGGTCACAATATCAAACGTTTCCGACCAGTCTATTAAACGTTGATTTAGAACGGACGTAAATAACTTTCCAAAATTACTGACTAAACTAATCCCTCTGTAGTTGTTCGGATCAAGCACATTACCCTTCTTGAATATAGGTATAAGAATGGCTTTAGCCCAATCAGTAGGAAAAATTCCGGACTGTAAAATTCCGTTAAAAATGAACAGTAATACAGGCATAAACACATCCTTGTATTCAATAAAATATTCGTTAAGAATTCCATCAACTCCCTGACTTTTATCTCGTTTCAGGTTACGAATAGCTTTCAAAATGTCATTTTCAGTAATTTCTCCATCAAGTTCCTCATAGACGCATTCACCACTAGTATTATGGAATAAGCTGTCGTCAAATACAGCATCTGTGTCTGATGAGCACAATGACTTAAAATGTTCATGAAACAACTTTAATGGTACAGCATGTTTAGAAGACGCTTTCCTTTTAAATTTCTTGTAAAATCATTTAGGGTTTGTCAGTCTCATCATGTCCAACATGTTTCCTTCAGTACGCATATATTCACGTTTCAAGCGACGTTCTAGTGTTTTATAATCCCTTTTCACTCGGATTAAATTAATATGATTTAGATGCGATTTTAATCTGTTAAAAATATTCAAACAGTTTATATAGCGGCGATAAATGTCTTTACACTGGACGGTGAACCAAGGTTTATCATCACAATCAAACATTTGTATACGACTTCTTGTTATTTTTATATTCATGCAGGGGCTTCTTGTGCAATATGGAAAGAAACTAGTATTATATTTTAATTTTAATATTTTAAAATATGGATGACGTCTTTTGAAAATCCATTGTATAAAGTTTGGTGACTTTGTTGATATCAACTTTATTCCGTGAATTTGAAATAACGGATACATAGACAGAGCTTTATTGGTGTATATGGATTCATGATCTTTGT